CAGAACTAAGAAGAGCTCTGACACACCCCTGTTGCTTGGAGATGGAGTATGTCTATTGGGCAGGGATCTTTCTCCCAAACATAAAACTCTCTGTGTTTTGGAACAAACCCGGTCTCTGATTTCTCTTGCCACCCCTGCCACAAACTCCACCCATTGTGACACATGACCAGGAACACCAGGCCACTGTCACACAGTTGTCCTTCACTCCAGGCAATGCATGTGAGTCAGGTTATAGGAGTGGGGAAGATTTCGGGGAGAAGCATTCCCTGAATGCACTGATGGGTGGGGAGCTGGGTACAGTAGTAGCAAGGGGGCCAGGTTACAGTGAAAAGATCAGGGGCATGGCTGGGGAGGTATGCAGAAACAGGGCTTGTGGGGCCCAGCTGATGTATGTGGGGATGGCTGGCTCAGTATGCAAATTGCAGGGCATGATATGTACAACAGTTTAGTTGATCGCTAACTCCTACCAACAAGATCTCTTCTCCTGTTCAAAAAAACTAGGATGTTCAATGGCAAAACAAAACAAAAATGTTAATGCCAAATGAAGGTCACTTGGTGGTATTGTCGTCGACTTCCAGAATGGTGAGATGAGCAAAACTCAAACATCTGGAAACCAGGAAAGGCCCAAGGTATGGTTGCACCACGCCACCGTCCCTCTATCCTCTTTGTGCAATGCCTCAATACACACAAACACAATACTCTCACTGGCCTTGGAACTAACAGATCCAGGAGGTTTAAGATCCTGGCTTTCATTCACACGTTTAGCTAATTCCCAGAACGAATACCACATGTGGGCAATTGAAGAATGATGTCACAATGTTTTACATAGAGAATTAGTAAGATCAGACTCTGTAGGCTTCTTCACACACTGCAGGATGCCCCATGTAGATGCAAAGACTGGATTTTTCCTTAAGGGTGTCAGTAGCCTCTTAAAATATGAAAAAGAAGAGAGGGAACCAAATGGCATAGCTAAGCTTTTTTCCACCTCAAACAAGGTCGGTGGGTACCCCAAGCTAATGGAGGGATAGCTCAGTGCTTTGAGCATTGGCCTGCTAAACCCAGGGTTGTGAGTTCAGTCCTTGAGGGGGCAATTTAAGGATCTGGGGCAAAAATTGGGGATTGGTCCTGCTCTGAGCAGGAGGTTGGACTAGATGACCTCTAGAAGTCCCTTCCAACCCTGAGATTCTATGATTCTAAGGCACTGTGATAAAAATGGTAAACGGGGGTGCACCATTCTTTTGGGTGCCAAAGGACTGAGATTTCTCTGGGGATCCCATTATCAGGGACTGGTGGTGGTAGGCAGCTGATAAGCAGCTAGTACAAGCAAGAGCCCTTCTCTCTGGAGGCAAAGGGTAACAGAGTAACTAGGTGATACACCTTCCTTAGTACCCTGAGAACCATCATACCCTTCTGGCCTTATGACGCACAAATATTTCCCCCCTTTGTCTCCACAGAAACCCCAACTCCCAGGCCTTTCCTGGCTTCCTCCTGATTTCCTTCTTTTGTTTCCATTTTTACCCATCTGTAGATCCCAGATCAAGGAGAAAACCAAGAAAGTTCAATACCAACAACTTGATGAACAGTGAAAATTTTATTCTTTATTCAGGCTCGACAAATTCTCTGAATTCCGGCAGCAGATTCAATCCCCCAGAAAATCCCAAAGCAGAACTGAGGCTGCAGGTCATAACGAGAGAAGACTCAGAGAAGATGTAATAAAGTCCTCTGCTTTGGTAACGAGATTTGGAGAGAAGCTGGGGAACGGGAAGCACATGAGCCGGTTTTGCAAGGTGGGAGGAGGGCACTGAGAAGTGGTAAGCATGGGTTTGAAGGGACTGAACTGATCCCACTGATTTTCAGGAGACCAATGCAAGACTCAACCCAAGAAGCTCTCACTCCTGCAGACACCCACGATGTTCATGAAAAACCCAGTTTGCACCTTCGGGCACCTAAATACCTTGACAAAGCTGGCCCCATGTCCACTACATTTAGAGGAACTATACAAGATTGTGTCTGGGTTTTTTGACACTGATTGTTGCCCCCAGAAGTGGTAGGGTTTGTCTGGCAGAAGAAGGAAAATTAATATGTGTGTGACTTGGAAACATTAAAATAAATTGTTTTTGAAAAGGAGGGGACCCAATTAATAGGCCGGGTTAATGCAAAAATACAGTGTTTGGAATTTTCAGAGTGACAGCCGTGTTAGTCTGTATTCGCAAAAAGAAAAGGAGGACTTGTGGCACCTTAGAGACTAACCAATTTATTTGAGCATGAGCTTTCGTGAGCTACAGCCCACTTGATCGGAAGTGTTTGGAATGACGAACACATTAAGAGCCTCAGATAAGCAAAGAATGACAGAATGTTCATGCACCAGCGCCATCTACTGGATAGTGCTGGAAGCAGCAGAGAAAGTAATAGACGAAATCCGGGAGCTGTTGGCAAGTAATCCTCTTATTCTCTATTGGACCTTAGACACCATCCTCCAACAAACAGGGTATATCAACTGGCATCAGCATGCTGGACCTCAGAGTTTTGCTGAGCCTACCAGTGAAGCTGGAGAACTTAGAAGTGCTGCCAGACACTTGGACAAACCATGTGTCCTGCTCTCGCCTATCCCGGGCTTATCAGGCTGAGAAAAGATGGTGAGACTTCCTTTCAGAGACTGTGTTTCTTTAATCCCAGTATCTGGAAGTTCCCCTGTTGCACCTGCACTTTTTAGCAAGACCTCAAGGAAAAACATCTTGGATTTTTCATAGACTCATAGGACCATAGGGTGAGAAGGGACCACAAGGGTCAGGTAGTCTAACCCCCTGCAAGATGCAGGATTTTTTGTATCTAAACCATTTTAACTAAGCAATGTCATATGCCTGTTTCTCCTTTATCCATCCAACTCAATAGCCTAAGAGAACCTCTAACAATAACTTTAAGCAACTGCTTTTGATAGTTTAAACTCTTTCAAACCTCCACATTAGAAAGAGCAGGGACCAGGTTAGTAGGATGCCTTCAGACAAAGTGCATCAGAGAATTACTTAAAGTGTGACAAATGTAGTTGAGATATTGAAGAACTGATTGTTATAAATAAATGTAGTAAGAAATCTGACTGTGTGATTTGTATGGTACAGGTGATAGGCCTCAACACTGGTCTATCTACATCCATTGAGTGCCAGACTGCGTGTGTAATCTGGGTTCAGTACGTTCCTAGGACATTTTCTGTATCTAATCTTTGATCTATAAAGCTGATGATTATATGCCTTGTTGACTGCAGCAGTACTGTCCAGGGTAAAAGCAGACCTGAGTAGAGCTTAGCATTAAAATGAGAAAGCTCACGCTCCCTGGACTCAATAATAAGGAGTTATCCTAATTAAATTTCCTAAAAACAAGGATGGAAAATCCAGTTTGATAGATTTCAGCTTTCAGATCTACTCTGGCACCTTGGCAAATCCATACTATTTACCCCCCACCCGCCCCCTTCTCACTTAAAAGAGTGCACAGGGTTCTCTTGTTTCTACTGACATGGAGGAAGCCCAAAGCAAATTCAAGGCTGTGAGTAATAGTAATAGTAGGAGAGAGAAGACGCCATTCAATCACCTACACTACCGATGAGATTTGGAAGGAAGTTTGGGAACTGCTGCGAAGGAGGTGGATGAAGGAGAATGGAAAAAGCAGAAGTGGCTGGGGGAGAAGTTTGGTCCGGCCGTGTGTCCTCATCATTAAAGCCATTAGAAACATTGTTATTGAGAGGAAATTAGATTCTTTTTTTGCAAAAGGAAAATATTCCCAGAAAGCGTCTTCTTCCCTCAAAAACTGTCAAATTTTTCTTTACAAAACCTGAAAATGTTTGACTAGCAATAAACCAGTTTTGTTTTCAGGAAATATTTTTGTTTGTTTTGGCAGCTACCGACAGACAGAGGATCTAAAAAGGGGGATGGTATCAAGTTCCGGGGACTGCACCCCGCATGCCAGGGTGGGGATCACTACGTGAGTGACAAGATGAACCCCTCCCACCCCAACATCTACATCATCGAGGGCGAATCCTACCAGGTTGTGAAGGACTTGAGCACAGATGCTGAGTCCAAGGTCCGTGAGCAGGGACCACTACATGCACTATGATTTCTTTTTCTGCATCATCTTCCTAGAGCGGGGGGTTATGTGCCGTGTCTTTGACATGAGCACAGGTGAAAATGGGTTCGACACTCCCCTTCGGCCTGAATGCTGCAAGGGGCTCTATTACTTTGACTTCAGCGTCTTCCCAACCCTGACCAAGGTGTTCAGAAATGGGGGGACTCAGTTCCACCAGTACAATGACATGAGCTCCACCGATTCAGTCTCCTTCTCCATCCACCCCAATGTGCTGAACTTCTTGCCCGGGGGGGGCTGACTCTCACAACAGGCATCTCAACCGGCGCCTGGAAGTGCATCAAGAACCGAAGGACTCCGAATCTCCCATCACCTGGTCAGACAAGGTCACACGCAAGGTGGGCTATGCCAAGCAGCATATGTCCCGCATCAAGCACAGCTGGAGGATCTCTGCTGAGATGTCCCTCAGGGCTCAAGCTCAGCACCCAGGTCCAGTTCTCCCTCAAGCCCGAGTACAGTGGAAGAAGCGCCTGCACGGAGCAGGAGGACTGGAACGAAGCCCAGGAAGAAGAGGAGTCAGCCCAGGTGACCCTGGAGCCCAAAAAGAACCTGTACATCCGGCAGTACCGCCTCAGCATAGGGCACAAGCCCATCTTGTTCTGCAGGGTTGTCCAGTTCACAGAAGAAAACCATCGGCTCCAGTCCCCTAAACGTCCGGGAGGATGGAGAATGCCCTCACTCACTTTCACCGGGCACTGGAAGGGGGTTGGAGTGCGGGAAGGGGTGCAGGCTCTGGACTGGGGCCGAGGGTTTTGGAATGGAGGAGGGGGCTCTGGGCTGAGCCTGGGGCAGGGGGTTGGGATGCAGGAGGGGGTGCGGGGTGCAGGCTCTGGGAGGGAGTTTGGGTGCCGGAGGGGGCTCAGGGCTAGGGCAGGGCGTCGGGGTGCAGCAGGGGGTTTGGAGTGCTGGTTCCAGGACAGGGCTGGGGCATGGGGTTGGGGTGTGCCTTAGGAGATAGGGAGACTGCCTTAGCTTTGCTGTGCTGCTGGACTTTTAGCAGCCCAAAATCTCCCGGTTTGGCTTCAGTACCCTCCGGGAGATAGAGCCCAATCCCAGGAGACTCCTGACAAAACCGGGAGGATTGGCAACCCTGCACCTGCCCCATACTGAAGAGAAAGATGACCCTCTACCTCAGATACCTGCCAATCTGACGTGTGGGGGGGATTCCTTCCCCACCTCGATTCTGATGATCAATTGGCTCCTGAGCATGCCAGCCCAAGCACCAACCAGGCAGCTCAGAGCTGTGACCCACTCTGTCCTGTCTCCAGGTGTGACTATCTCTGATCACTACACTTCAGAGGAAAGTGAAAAAAAATCCCAGGGAGCCAATGGGGTATCGAGGTAACCCGTCCTGCCTGACCCCTGCAGGGGAAGCCCGGAAGCATGAGATTAGATGGTAATAATAGTCTTTATACAGGGCTGCAAGTGTTATGAGCATGTTGAGCTGCACTGGTTTAGCTCCTTACCTTCAATCCCCCCAGTTCATCGAGAGGGCAAAGGCCTCCTGTCCCATTCCCACCTCCCTGAGTCACCCATCCCCCTGCACTGGGGCTGGATCGGAGCCAGATCCCCCTCGAGGAGAAAGGCCCCATGACACAGTCACTGACCCTCTCCCAGATGGCAGAACCTTCAGCCCTAATCGGTTATGTCCTGTTTTCCTCCCTGGAAACACACAAAGTGTTGCAAGCACAGGACGGCCTGATAGCAGGTGGCTGCAATACAGGCCACGCAGATAAGAGTCTGGCAGGGATCCCACCCTCTGGTGAAGCAGCCGTGGCCCCTATCAGAGAGCAGGGCTTGGGGGAACAGAATTGGGGACCCCTTAACACGGAGAAGGGGCTCGATTGGCCCACAGGGGCAGGGTGAGGGGGTGGAAGCCAGAGTGGGAGATGGGGAGGGAACACTCAGGGGAAAAGGGAGGCATAGTATGAGGGAGGAAGGATGAGCCTGGTGAGAAGGCGGAGTCAGTGGAAAGGGGGAGGAGCCACTGGAGAGGAAGCAAACAGATGTTATACTTACAAGAAGCACACGGGATTTTTATAGGGGAGAAGGCAGCACGCCGTATTTACTGAGAATACGACAGTTAGTAGATGCTTTTTAATTACATACACATACATATTAGGCATACAGCCCCGCCAGTCTAGAGTCTGGATCAATCTAGTGGCCAGCCAGATAGATCACAGAGGGGAGCCGGGCTCTGTCGGTTGCAATTCGATGCTTTTGGAGTGGCGGCAAGACAAACCCAAAGTCCCATGGCCAAGCAGCCTGCTCTTATGGAGTCTTCTTTTGCCGTTGAAGTTTATGAATTTTGCTGTGTCAGTTTCTGACCGGTTACTTTTTAATTGGTGTTATTTTTTGATGTTAACATTCCAAAACACCTTGGAGGGGGTTATTTTGGTTTGGTTTTGATGCAGTTAATTGTTTTCTTTCTAGTGGTGCCAGCCTTTACCTCAGGGTATTAATTTGCCCTTCTTCCATTATGGATGTGGGCTGATGGCGTTGGGAAGGGTTTTTATTTTTTTTTTTTTTGATTATTTGGCTATAACAACGGCCTTTACACCTTTCTTTTTGATGCATACATTTTTTATTTACATAAACCATTTTTTACAGAGACCTTTAAAGGTATCCAGTAGTTTGTAAATTAAACCTGACTACATTTTGTGATTAAAACAGTTCACATTGTGGCCCGGGCTTTTAAAAAAAAATTAATTTTTTTAACGTAGACACAATACAAGATTCTGTTTTTTACTTACTAAACCTTAAAACAAAGAAATGTATATTTAACGAAAGTGGCTAATTTATATAATACACATAGGAAACCAAAGTAGACATTACAACTTATTTTAAAACAAAAGGGTGACCATAATTAGTTATAAGGATTGTTTTGGTCGGTTTTTGCCTTAACATTAGTACAGACACTGGCAGTCTGTCAGATGCGTTTTTAAACAGTGTTCCAGAGGGTCTTTCCTTTCTGCTGTTCAAAAAGGGTGGCTGGCAGGATGATTAAACTATACATTAATTCTTATAGTACAAATATAAAATTTTACTTCTACACAGACCCCGTCAGCGTTTACATCCAGAGAATTGCAGGGCTGGTTTTGCTCTTCTCTAAGGTCCCATCCATCTCGGTACAGCCCAGGAACTCGCTCCTGGCCCCAAGCGGAGCTGTCATCAGCTGAGAGGAACTACCAGGTGGGAGTGTCAGCTGGAACTTTGGGGTGGGGGGACCCCAGGGCTGGGCTAGCAGGGGGCTGTGTGTTGGGACTGAGGGGCAACGGCAGAGCTGGTGGCGAGGACTGAGCCCAGGGCTAGGATAGCTGGGGGGTTGCGGGTCGGGAGTGAGGGAACTTTGGTGAGTTGTTTTCCTCTGAGCTCCATTCATGGACTCCTGGCTGGGCACAGAGTTAGTCCTTGGGATCCTGTCTATATTTCCTCCCCTCTTTATCTCCACGCAGGGCAGCCCTTCGCACTTATGGGGTGAGATAGAGGAGACATGGCCCAGATGGATAGATCCATGGTGGAAAGTGGGAGCCCGTGTGAGGTGGGATCCTCATGGGGCAGGACGCTGGGCTTTCCCCTTCCTCAGGATTGCGCCACCCCCTGGAGATTGGTCTGCAGGGCACATCTAGGAGACTTCATTGCAGACAGGTGCCTGGTTGCTCTTGGAACTGGGGATCTTCAAGCATCAAAGGTTCACAAAGGATGAGATGAGCTAACATCCTGCCCTCACTTCTCCTCGTCTCAGGGCTGGACTCCTGCCGATGGACCATTGGTCCCTCACAATGACGCCCCAGGCACCGACATCTTCGATAATCAAAAGGGCTTCTTTATCATCTGCTCCGACCTGGATTGCTACCTGCGGACAGACAATCAAAAGAGCGGGACTGGTATAGAGATCCGGAGACTGCACCCTGCGTGACAGGATGGGGATCTCTACGGGAGTGACAAGACGATTCCCCCCAACATCTACATCATCAAGGGCGACTCCTACCAGGTGGTAAAGGACTTCAGCACAGATGCTGAGGCCAAGGTCCATAAGCTGCATCCCAACTGCTGTGGCGGGGACCACTACATGCACTGTGCTTCCGGGTTCCACATCATCTTCCGAGAGCAGCGTGTCGTGTGCTCTGTCCTTGACGTGGGCACAGATGAACATGGGATGGATGCTCCCCTACCACTTCTTTCCAACAGTACTGAAGGTGGATGAGAAATGGTGGGTGGAGCTCATGTTCATATACATGTACTACTGAGCCCACCAACAGATCTCCTTCTCCATCCACCCCAACGTGCTGACCTTCTTCCCCGGGGGGCTGACCCTCACCAAGGGCACCTCAACCAGCAGCTGGGAGTGTATCAATGGGATCAAATCAGCCCCTTCAAATCCATACTTATCGCTTCCCAGTGCCCTCCTCCCAGCTCGCAAACCCGGCTCATCCACTTCCCCTCCCCCAGCTTCTCTGCAAATCGCGTCACCAGGGCAGATGATTTCATTGCCTGTTCTCTCCGTCGTCTCTCATTATAACCCGCAGCCTGAATTCTGCTTTGGGATCGTTCCAGGGTCGAATCTGCTGCAGAAGCACAAAGAATTTGTCCAGCATTCACCAGGCTGTTGGGGTTGACTTTCCTTGGTCTTCTCCTTGGTTTGGGGGTCTGTAGAAGGGTAAAAAACAAGAAAGCATGAGGGAGCTGGGATGGTAATAATTGTCTTCATATGGGGCTGCAAGTGCTAGGAGCATGTTGAGCTGCATCCCTGACCCATTCATGTAGAGGGGAAAGGCCCCGTGTCCCGTTCTCGCCTCCCTGAGTCCCCAACCCCCCAGCCCTGGGGCTGGATGGGAACCAGCGGCCCTAGAGGGGAAAGGCCCTGTGACACTTTCACTGACCCTCGCACAAACTGGAGAATCTTCAGCCTCAACTAGTTACGTCCTGCTCCACCTGAACTGGCCCCTAGCAGGCGTGACTGGCCCTTTTTATCCTGCCTGTTGGGCCCTGATTGACTTCTGCCCACTCCCGGCCCTTCTAGCCACTGTGGGACCAAGTGGGGGCTTTCTAGAGGGTCCAAACTTGCTACTCTTTCCCCCCCAGACAGGCCAGCTTCTTGGGGCCTGGTGCCCCCACATGGCTGAGCCCCCAGCAGGGGGCAACAAATGCCTGGCACACCCTATAAAGGGGGAGGGCAAGGGACACAAGGCACAGGTAAGGGGGAGGTGCCCAGGCAGGGAACCCATCTTAGTCCCCGGAGAGCCTTCTGCATCCCCTCCACCTCATGTCTGCCCTGCCTTCTCCATCCTGAGCCCCCAGCATGTAGCTAGAAGGGTGTCATCACGAGACAGCGCTGGTGGGGGAGGGGGCAGCAGGAATGGGACCCTGAGAGCCATAGGGAATGGAACAGCCTGTGGAACTCACCACCACATGAATTTAACAGAGGCTGAACGGCCAATCAGAGGTTCTTGGATCACTCCCGGCAAGCCAGAGGAGCCACGCCCTGGGGTGAGGGGGCAGGAGGAAAGTCTGCAATTGAGGGCATGGCCCAGCAATAGGGGGAGCAGGAGGAAGTGGCTCCCCTGGGCAGGTTATTCCACAATTGTCCACAAGGGGGTGCCACTCTCAAAGGCCAAGCTAGGTGGGCTCCCTGGGCTGAGGGGCCCTAGGGATCCTTCAGCAACAGCACAGATTTAGGGCAAGCATGGCAGACTCTGGGCCAGTTACCTCCCAGCTTCATTCCAGCTCCGGCAACCCACCAAGGGGGAGGGATCCATATACAGATGGGGAGAGCTAGGACTGAAACCCCAAAAGCCTTACCTCCCAGACCCCTGACCTCCCTGCTCTCACCATTAGACGCCCCCCTCCCACCTCTGAGCAGCGGAAAGAACCCAGGATTCCCGGTCCCAAAGGCCCCCCATACACACACACACACACTCCAACCACAAGATCCCACTCCCCTCCCAGAGCCAGGGAGAGAACCCAGGCGTCCTGACCTCCCTTTAACTACTAAACTCTTCATCCCATCTCCAAGCAGGGAAAAGAACCCAAGAGTCCTGCCACCCCCTCCCAACTATTAGACACGCCCCCATCTCCGAGCAGAGGATAGAACCCAGGCATCCTAGCCACCAGCCTCCTCTGTTCTAACCACTGACTAGCCCATCCCCTCCCCCCAGCCTAGGAGAGAACCCAGGCGTTCCCCCCCCCCTTTAATGGCTGTGCAGTTGGGAGGAGCCGGCCAGCGACTTCCCCTCCCCTTTAGCTACGACTTCCCGTTTGGGGGCGGGCCAGGCGGATCTCAGCCCGGGCAAGGCTGCGGGTTATCATCGCCGGCTGGAGGCGCAGCGCCTTGGAGAGGGGCGCACGGCCCCGGGAGCGCAGCGCCTTGGAGAGGGGCGCACGGCCCCATCTCCACTCCCAGCGCCGGTGAGATCCGGGGAGCATCCCCGCCCCATTCCGGGCTGCCCCATCGCCCCTTCCCGGGGGCTCTGCAAGTGGGGCCTCTCCAGGGGGGTCCCCCCTTCTGGGATAGGGGGAGCAGAGGCCGCGCTGGGCTGCTGGTTACCCGTGGTGCCCGGTGCAGAGCCAGCTTCCACCCGGGACCCAGGCCTCCTTCCCCCTCCCACACACACCCAGGGCCTGGCCCTTCTTGGTGTGACTCCCCCACAGACATCCTCCCCCAACCTCCCTTTCAGGGACCAAGCTGATTCTCCCCCCACCCTGTGCCCTGGGCGGTGGTGCCCTTCCTGCCCTCCACACCGCCAGGGTCTGGCTGGTCTCGGCCTAGCCCATTTCAATATGGACCCCCCCACTCTCCCCCTCTGGTGTCCCCCCAGGAGCTCAGCCCCCCCATGGCCGGGATCGCCCCACGGGCACGCTCCCCTGGCACCGATGTCTTCACCACGCCTCACGGCTTCTTCATCGTCCGCTCCGACGTGGGCTGCTTCCTCCAGGCGCCCGAGTGCCACTCCCCGGAGGCCGTGGAGATCCGGGGCCTGCACCCTGCCTGCCAGGGTGGGGAACACTATGTGGGCGACACCACCGGCTCCTGCGTCTGCATCCTCCGGGGGGACGCGTTCCACCGAACCACAGACCTGAGCGCCGCCCCCAGCCCCGATGCCCTCCCCCTGCACCCCACATGCCGCGGAGGCGACCACTATGCCTCGTGGGGCGGCCGCTTCTCCCTCATCTTCCTGGCCCGCGGCGTGGTTCTGTCTGTGGCTGACCTGACCACGGGGGCTGAAGCAGAGGAGATGCCCCTGGAGCCTGCGTCCCGCCACGGACTCTACTACTACGCTCTTGACGCTACCCACCTGGCTTTCCTGGGTGTGGACGAGCAGCGGGGGCTATACAGCCAGGTCTTCTCTAGCTCAGGGCACCAGGAGGTCCTCCCCGTCCACGCGGACGTGGCCAGCTTCCTCCCGGGTGGCCTGTCTCTGGTCCACAGGGGCACCTTTGGGGCATGGGAATGTGTCAAGCTGATCCAGAACGAGACGGACGGGCCGCTCCCCGGCAGCCATGAGATAACCCGGAAGGTGGGACGTGTGGAAGAGAAATTGGCCAACTGGACCTTCTCCACGGCCGGTTCCCCGGCACCTGCAGACCTTTCTGTGGCCTTGCTCCAGGCCCAGTTCTCCCTGCCCCCCATATATGGGGGGCTGGGGCTCAGGACGGAGCAGGAGGAGTGGGAGGCCGTGGCTGAAGAGGGAGAGGAGCTGCGGGTCATTCTTCAGCCCCGGCAGAAGCTCTACTGGTGGCAGTATCACCTGGGCTTGGGGCACCGGCCTGTTCTCTTCTGCCGCTGCCTCAAGGTGACCCGTAGCCCCGCCTCACCTGCCAACCTCCCACTGCCCCGGTCGGACGCAGGAGACGCTGGCATCTGACTGGGGAATGGAGGCTGGCGGTAGAGGAAAGGTTAACGTTGTCACTGAATAAATAATGTTCTATTGCACTGTCAGCAGCTGTCTCTGGATGGCTTTGGGACCCCACCCCGCTCCTCCCAAGGTGGGGAAATTGAGGCACAGAATGTGTCAGGGTAGGACACGGAGTTGTGGCTCCCAGCACCCTGCTCTAACCACTAGACCCCACTCCCATCCCAGAGCTGGGGATAGAACCCCGGAGTCCTGACTCCTAGCCCCACCCCCCAACCACTTGACTCGACTCACCCTCCAGAGCCAGGGAGAGAACGCAGGAGTCCTGAAGGCCAGCAACACGGTTTTCTTTCTTCAAGCTTCCCTCGTGTCCCAAGCAGGTATTGCACCCCTGGGACAGGCACTGCACTATCCGGGTCGCGGGGGGTCTGGGAGTACAGGGGAAAAATGGGGTTTGGCCCAACAGGGACCCCCCACCTTCCAGATCCAGGTGATAACTGCGCTGCAGGACCCCATGGAAACGGTGTTTGGGCGGGGGGGCAGCCTGGAGGAGACCAGGGATCAATTTGGGGGCAGGGTCATGGCAGTGGGAGCTTGGGGGCGAGGGACACATGGGATCTGGGGAAGGATCTTTAGGGGAAGTCGTGCTGCTGTTCCTATGACCTCGTTCAGCACCAGAGCCAGTCACAAACCTTCAACACACTTGGGAATGTTCTTCTCTGTGACTTGGTTTCCCTGGCTGTGAAATGGGGTGAGGATTCCACCTATTGTCTAGTGAGACTAAGATCGTTGGGGCAAGGACTGTTTCTCACAAAGGGTCTGTGCAGCGCCTGGCATGGCAGGGGCCCTGATCTCAGTCCGGGTATTCTAGGATCTACCCCAACACAAATAATTTGCCTCTCTCTCCCTCCATCTCCATTCTCACTTCTCCATCTATCCCATCGCCCAGCCATTTAGCTCCCTTACCCCCACCCTATGTTCAGGCATCTCCATCCCATCTAAGCAGGGCCCATGAGGAGGGTGTGGGTTGGGAACCATGTACCAACGGGGCATGGGGAGCCCTTACTCGCTGGCTCTCTCCAGGGACACAGAGAATGTCCTATCTGTGACCGGGGCACTGGGTTTGTCTCCTGAGGAGGGGAGGGGCTCAAACTGAGACCCCCTAGGTGCCCTATCCTGGTATGGTTTCAGCTCCCTCAGGGTCAATCCAGAGTCACTCCCAACTGCATTGGGATAAGGGCTGGATTCTGATCTCGGGGGCCCTCCGGCGTCCATCTGGAATTGACTGCAATGGTGTTGCTCCAGATTTACAATGGAGTAGAAGTATCCAGGACATGTGGGTGGTCTGACATTTGCAGTGCTGGATTAGGAGTCAGGACTCCTGGATTCTATCCCCAGCTCTGGGAGGGGAGCGATAAGCAGTGGTTATCCTGAATTCTATCCCACTACCTCTTGGAGTCTCTGAATTTTGGGGTGACAAAAATGCAGTTTTATCAGACGGGCCCTGCCATTTATTTATCATCATTATCAAAAAACATATTTACATAAATAGCCACTGAATGCATAAAGGTCGATAAGGCTGGGTAATGACCCGCCGTGCCCTCAGCTTTGGTGGGATAGAGACAAGACAAGAAAGATGGAGAACACAAGGCTTAGGGGACGGGAATGCAGGAGACATGGCTGGAAGAGTGCCATTGGATTTCAGGAAAATGAAGGATGTGCCAAGCGGGTCAGATCATCTCCACGCATGGAGCTGAGGGAACTGGGACTCCAGAAAAGATGGGTAGAGCAAAGAAGGGGACTCTCTCTTGAGCGAGATTTTTGGCCTGGCTGAGGGCAAGAGGTAGAAGACAGAAGAAGGCTGGAGCTGACCGAGGTCAGAAGGAGACAGGCGAGCAAGGAGGAAGCACGGTAGCCAAAGCTTGCAGAGAAGCTCTAGCAAGTGGATGTTGAACCTCCTACAGCCAGGGCGTCTTTGAGCTCAGGCCATAGCGACTCAAACCAGCAGACCGTGAAGTCTGCTGCTTGCCGGGGGGCTAAGATTCGCAATGTGACGGAGAGACTGCCGAGACTCATCAAGCCCTCAGATCGCTACCCCTTCCTTCTTCTCCACGTGGGCACCAATGATACTGCCAAGAATGACCTTGAGCAGATCACTGCGTACTACGTGGCTCTGGGAAGAAGGATAAAGGAGTTTGAGGCGCAAGTGGTGTTCTCGTCCATCCTCCCCGTGGAAGGAAAAGGCCTGGGTAGAGATCGTTGAATCGTGGAAGTCAACGAATGGCTACGCAGGTGGTGTCGGAGAGAAGGCTTTGGATTCTTTGACCATGGGATGGTGTTCCATGAAGGAGGAGTGCTGGGCAGAGACGGGCTCCACCTTACAAAGAGAGGGAAGAGCATCTTTGCGAGCAAGCTGGCTAACCTAGTGAGGAGGGCTTTAAACGAGGTTCACCGGGGGAAGGAGACCAAAGCCCTGAGGTAAGTGGGAAAGCGGGATACCGTGAGGAAGCACAGGTAGGAATGTCTGTGAGGGGAGGGCTCCTGCCTCATACTGAGAATGAGAGGCGATCAGCAGGTTATCTCAAGTGCTTATATACGAATGCACAAAGCCTTGGAAACAAGCAGGGAGAACTGGAGGTCCTGGTGATGTCAAGGAATTATGACGTGATTGGAATAACAGAGACTTGGTGGGATAACTCACATGACTGGAGTACTGTCATGGATGGTTATAAACTGTTCAGGAAGGACAGGCAGGGCAGAAAAGGTCGGGGAGTAGCACTGTATGTAAGGGAGCAGTATGACTGCTCAGAGCTCCGGTACGAAACTGCAGAAAAACCTGAGTGTCTCTGGATTAAGTTTAGAAGTGTGAGCAACAAGAGTGATGTAGTGGTGGGAGTCTGCTATAGACCACCAGACCAGGGGGATGAGGTGGATGAGGCTTTCTTCCGGCAGCTCGTAGAAGCTACTAGATCGCACGCCCTGGTTCTCATGGGTGACTTTAATTTTCCTGATATCTGCTGGGAGAGCAATACAGCGGTGCATAGACAATCCAGGAAGTTTTTGGAAAGCGTAGGGGACAATTTCTTGGTGCAAGTGCTAGAGGAGCCAACTGGGGGGGAGCTTTTCTTGACCTGCTGCTCACAAACCGGGAAGAATTAGTAGGGGAAGCAAAAGTGGATGGGAATCTGGGAGGCAGTGACCATGAGTTGGTTGAGTTCAGGATCCTGACACAGGGAAGAAAGGTAAGCAGCAGGATACGGACCCTGGACTTCAGGAAAGCAGACTTCGACTCCCTCAGGGAACGGATGGGTAGGATCCCCTGGGGGACTAACATGAAGGGGAAAGGAGTCCAGGAGAGCTGGCTGTATTTCAAGGAATCCCTGTTGAGGTTACAGGGACAAACCATCCCGATGTGTCGAAAGAATAGTAAATATGGCAGGCGACCAGCTTGGCTTAACGGTGAAATCCTAGCAGATCTTAAACATAAAAAAGAAGCTTACAAGAAGTGGAAGGTTGGACATATGACCAGGGAAGAGTATAAAAATATTGCTCGGGCATGTAGGAATGAAATCAGGAGGGCCAAATCGCACCTGGAGCTGCAGCTAGCGAGAGATGTCAAGAGTAACAAGAAGGGTTTCTTCAGGTATGTTGGCAACAAGAAGAAAGCCAAGGAAAGTGTGGGCCCCTTAATGAATGAGGGAGGCAACCTAGTGACAGAGGATGTGGAAAAAGCTAATGTACTCAATGCTTTTTTTGCCTCTGTTTTCACTAACAAGGTCAGCTCCCAGACTGCTGCGTTGGGCATAACAACATGGGGAATAGATGGCCAGCCCTCTGTGGAGAAAGAGGTGGTTAGGGACTATTTAGAAAAGCTGGACATGCACAAGTCCATGGGGCCGGACGAGTTGCATCCGAGAGTGCTAAAGGAATTGGCGGCTGTGATTGCAGAGCCATTGGCCATTATCTTTGAAAACTTGTGGCGAACGGGGAAAGTCCCAGATGACTGGAAAAAGGCTAATGTAGTGCCCATCTTTAAAAAAGGGAAGAAGGAGGATCCTGGGAACTACAGGCCAGTCAGCCTCACCTCAGTCCCTGGAAAAATCATGGAGCAGGTCCTCAAAGAATCAATCCTGAAGCACTTACATGAGAGGAAAGTGATCAGGAACAGTCAGCATGGATTCACCAAGGGAAGGTCATGCCTGACTAATCTAATCGCCTTCTATGATGAGATTACTGGTTCTGTGGATGAAGGGAAAGCAGTGGATGTATTGTTTCTTGACTTTAGCAAAGCTTTCAACACGGTCTCCCACAGTATTCTTGTCAGCAAGTTAAAGAAGTATGGGCTGGATGAATGCACTATAAGGTGGGTAGAAAGTTGGCTAGATTGTCGGGCTCAACGGGTAGTGATCAATGGCTCCATGTCTAGTTGGCAGCCGGTGTCAAGTGGAGTGCCCCAGGGGTCGGTCCTGGGGCCGGTTTTGTTCAATATCTTCATAAATGATCTGGAGGATGGTGTGGATTACACTCTCAGCAAATTTGCGGATGGTACTAAACTGGGAGGAGTGGTAGATATGCTGGAGGGCAGGGATACGATACAGAGGGACCTAGACAAATTGGAGGATTGGGCCAAAAGAAATCTGATGAGGTTCAATAAGGATAAGGTCAGGGTCCTGCACTTAGGACGGAAGAACCCAATGCACAGCTACAGACTAGGGACCGAATGGCTAGGCAGCAGTTCTGCAGAAAAGGACCTAGGGGTGACAGTGGACGAGAAGCTGGATATGAGTCAGCAGTGTGCCCTTGTTGCCAAGAAGGCCAATGGCATTTTGGGATGTATAAGTAGGGGCATAGCGAGCAGATCGAGGGACGTGATCGTTCCCCTCTATTCGACATTGGTGAGGCCTCATCTGGAGTACTGTGTCCAGTTTTGGGCCCCACACTACAAGAAGGATGTGGATAAATTGGAGAGAGTCCAGCGAAGGGCAACAAAAATGATTAGGGGTCTGGAACACATGACTTATGAGGAGAGGCTGAGGGAACTGGGATTGTTTAGTCTGCAGAAGAGAAGAATGAGGGGGGATTTGATAGCTGCTTTCAACTACCTGAGAGGTGGTTCCAGAGAGGATGGTTCTAGACTATTCTCAGTGGTAGAAGAGGACAGGACAAGGAGTAATGGTCTCAAGTTGCAGTGGGGGAGGTTTAGGTTGGATATTAGGAAAAACTTTTTCACTAGGAGGGTGGTGAAACACTGGAATGCGTTACCTAGGGAGGTGGTAGAATCTCCTTCCTTAGAAGTTTTTAAGGTCAGGCTTGACAAAGCCCTGGCTGGGATGATTTAATTGGGGATTGGTCCTGCTTTGAGCAGGGGGTTGGACTAGATGACCACCTGAGGTCCCTTCCAACCCTGATATTCTATGATTCTGTGATTCTATGACTCATGCTTTAAGGTCCACAACGCACCCATCGCTTGGAGGCACTCAGAACAGATTCTGCTTCATTGACACCGGAGCCAGGCAGAGGTATATCTAGGGTGTAGGGTGACTTGGAGAAGCATCCATGTGTCGTGGGTTTACAGCACAGACCAGAGGGGAAGGCCAGAGCCATGGACTTCCTGCCGGCCCCTGGAATAGGACATCTCCATACAGCAGCAAGAGGACATGATTGCCAGCATCCTATGATGGCTGGAAGTAGCCTTGTAGAGCTCCTTGGGCTGGCACAGTGGAACGGATTCTGGGTGGGGAAGTGACATGCCCGCTGGGTCTGAGGGGGCAGAAGCCAAGGTGAGAGGAGGAGAAGTGGGGTGGAGAAGTATGGACCCAACCTTGGGCTCCTCCAATCTTTCTTTCCTCACCGACACCCTCTTCCCCCTTGTCCATCAACTGCAACGAAGGATGAAGAAGACCATGCCTGCTTGCATTCCATCTGCCTGGCTCTGAGCCTCCAGCTTGGCTGGGTTTGGAGACCGTTGCCTGGTTGTCCTGTGAACTTCAAGCAGCCATTGCCACCACAGACAGTTGGCTTGGAAAAGGACCAGCCAATGCTTCTCCCATGGGTGGCTTCGGTCGTACCTTCCAGGTATAGCGGTCAGTTTTCCAAAATAAATACGCCATGGTCTGTCCCTTCTCCATGACGGTTGATGAGGCAAGTTCGGGTGGGTTCTCCCACAGGTGCAGCAATCTCTCTCCCCAGGCCAGAGAAGGGCTGCTGGATGTCTCTCTCTGAGAAGGCACCCTAGATGAGCTATAAATGGTCCTTCAGCATTTGCTGAAGTCCTAACTGTGAGGCACCTGGATCAGATGCCAGGCCCAACTTCAGAGGGATGAGTAGAGAGAGACGTAGTGGGGAACCCACCTGCAACATGTGTGGTCCGCAGAACAGGATAACAACCTACTACTGCTACTAAACAATGAGAGTTACTCCAGCAGCTCCATCTGTGATGTTGGCTCTTAAGGTTGTGGCTTCAATCCCAGCTGGTGACCCAGCTGCTATATAACATGATGGTTCACACAGGATAACAACCTGCTACTGCTACCAGCTAATGGGCTTACTCCTGCAGCTCAGTTGGCTGTGTTCAATGATTATTAGCACTGACAGCTGTGGGTTCAAGCCCTGCTGATAACTTGGGGGGGAGCTTGTTTACATGAGAGGATAACAGCTTCCTACTGCTACCACCCAGTGGAGTTACGTGGGGCAAAGTCCATGATTTTGGTCCTGAAGGTCATTGGTTCAGTCCCTTGTTCATGATGCACCATGGGAGGTTGTCACGTAAAGAGCTAGTCCAGGTAGGAGGTTAATAGCTTACTGCTGCTAATGAAGTTCATCTGGGATTTTGGTGGGTGCAATCCCTGCTGGTGGGAGGATGAGGGTAGACCCCAGGGGGTCAGCAATGGCTGACGTGGGCGTCTCAGAAGTTGAGGCTCAGCAGGTTTTCAGAGAGCTTGTTCAGATCCCGGCTACAGGGCTCTCTGTGCAGGACGAAGTCCACCTTCTGGTCCTGACCCGTGAAGATCGTCAAGAGCTCCTGCCGAAGCCGCTCAGTCTCCCGCGGCTTCCGTACCACCTCCGCCTCCTCTCCCTTTTCCTCCTGCAGCTGTCTCCTCTGCCGCCGCTCCCCGGGGGGCTTCCTGTCCCGCAGCTGCAGCACCTCTGTCTGGGAGGCTGGCCGGCTGGGGGCGGGAAAGGGAGCCCCATGCCCCGCAAAGGAGTGGCAAGTGGGAGGCTTCTGCCTGCAGTGAGGAGCATTGAGGCAAAGTTAGCATCAGCTCCCAGCCACCCCCAGCCCCAAGCCTGACCCCCCAGATGGTTGGCAGGGGACATGGATGCAGTTCCCAAGTCTGACCAGCAGGGCGCAGGCAGGCATTTGGCAGTCAAAAATGCCAGCCTTCAAGGGGAGGAATCAGCATCTCCTTAAAGGGATTTTGGCACATGGGGCATTTCTTCTCAGCTGAAGGAGGTTTGGCTGAGAGGGGTGGTTCCCCACACGACTAGGTACCTGAGGGGTTTCTGCAGGAATTCATCCAAGGTGGGACCCTCTCGGCCCAGCGGGTCATCTGGAACCATGAAGATGTTCCCCACGAAGGTGAACTGCAGCAGTCTGAGAGGGAAGAAGAAGTTTAGAATCCCATTCGGGATCAGAGCCAGCACCCCATAGAGAGGAGGTCCCCTTCTCTGTCCCCCTGAGCCGGCTAGTTTCCTGCTCTGGGGCCAGGTTGGAGCTGGAGGGGAAAGGCCTAAGATCCCATTCCCACCCTGCTGAGCTAGCCAGTTCCCCTACCCTGGGCCTGGATCAGACTTGATGCCCCCTAGAGGGGAAAGGCCCTGTGTCCCATTCCCCACTCCCTGAGCCAGCCAGTCTCTGCCCAGGAGCTGGGTGGGAACCAGCACCCCCTAGAGGGGAAAGGCCCCATGTCCCATTCCCTGGCCCCCTCACCTCTCTTTGATGATTCTGGTCCATTTCTTGGACTCCTGCATGAGGTCCCGGAGCTGGTCATTCGTGACGATGACGCCGTTCGTCTCCTCTGCCAGCCTGAGCATGAACCTAACCCAAAGGGGGCAGAGTGAGACCCCAGCACTCCAGGCCCTGCTCTGGGTTCCAGGACAAGGCTAAGAGCTGGGTCCCAGATGCTGGCTGTACCCAACACTGACCACAAGGTGGCGGCAGCACCACAGGAGTGGAACCATAGTCCCCTATAGGGAAGCAGTGTGATAATGAGGTGATGGGCATAAGGGGGTCCCTGTCTGCCTGCTCTAAGCAGGCTGCAGGTCTGGAGTGAGGGGCACCACGGAGCTGGGGGGTGGATGCCAGAGCTGGGATGGCAGGGATCCCTGGGTAAGGATTGAGAGGCCGCACAGAGCTATTTCATCCCCACCTCTGGAGCTCAGCCTTCAATTAACCCCCAGCTGCAGGGACTTTCTGCTTCACAGCCACCACCTCGTTCCTCATGTGACCAGATAGGGGTGTAGCAGCCCCTCGCAGCTTGGAAAGCCCAGTGGGGGTGGACCTCCGAGGCCTGGCCCCTCAGCTCTCTGCCAGCTGGGCTCAGACAGCACCACATCGGTGGCTCCACTGAGTCCTCTGCTCCTGCAGGGGCAGCGTAGAGTGTGGGAGGGCTCCCCACATCAGGAGGGGGGCGGAGAGGGAGCCCCAGGTTTACCTGTCATCGTAGGATGTGATGCGCTTCCCAGCCACTTGGCGTGAGGGCGTCAGTGACAGCAAGCTCAGGTCCTGCAGCTGGGTCAGGAAATGTCTCTCTGGGGGAGGAGGGGAGATGGAGTCAGCAAGCATGGGGCTGGAGGACAGGGTGGGGCTTTAGGAAGTGGGATCTATGAGGGTGAGCATCAAGCCCTAGGGGGCAGGGTGGTATGGGGTAACAAGAGGCCCCGGGGGTCAAGCTCATGGCAGAGTAGCGAGGGGCCCCAGGGGGCAAGCTCATGGCAGGGTAGCAAGGGGCCCCAGGGGGCCAGGGGTGGTGAAGGGCCCCAGGTGGCAGGCCCGGGCAATGTCATGCAGGGCGATAAAGCTCCATCATCACCCCACCTCCCTTCTTACCTTCCACCCTAGCAACCTTCTCCATCCTCCACTGTGGCACGAAGACCGTCACCTCCCGGTGCCCACGGTCCCAGAAATACTGCACAGCCAGAGCGATGCCCCGGCAGGAGAAGAACTGGTGTAAGCCGTGCCTACAGGAGGGACGGAAGGCGATGTTGAGGCATGGAGGTGCTGGCACTGGGTTCCCCTGGCACAGCGTTGGGCAAATAGGGGAAGAGGGGCCAATGCAATAGGACAGTCCTAGAATTCTGAGCTCTACGCCAGATGCGGGAGAGGAATTGCAAGAACAAGGAGTAATGGTCTCAAGTTGCAGTGGGGAAGGTTTAGGTTGGATATTAGGAAAAACTTTTTCACTAGGAGGATGGTGAAGTACTGGAATGGGTTACCTAGGGAACTGGTGGAATCTCCTTCCTTAGAGGTTTTTAAGGTCAGGCTTGGCAAAGCCCTGGCTGGGATGATTTCGCTGGGGACTGGTCCTGCTTTGAGCAGGGGGTTGGACTAGATGACCTCCTGAGGTCCCTTCCAACCCTGATATTCCATGATTCTATGAATTGGGGCTGGTTTGGTCCTGAAGCCAAATGATGCCTATGGACTAGTCAAGTATAGGGCCTTAGGAGACCTCAAATCCAGATGAAGCCCCAAGATCAAAGGCTTGATGTTCCGATAGGCTCCAAGACTAGACTAGGCTCCAGAAACCTGAGACTGGATTGTGCATAGGCCTCAAGACTACACTATCCCTCAGGACTCTAAGCTTGTGGTGACCTCAAGACATTCCTGTGGTGACCTCAAGAGTAGACTAGGCCCTAAGGCCTACAGACAAGTCAAGCCTATGGTCTTGGGGCCTAGGTTGGTCTTGAGGGCAGGAAAATCTAACATAGAATCCTGCGGCCTAAATTGATTTTGAGGTCTATGGTCAAGTCAAACATAGAGTCTTGAGGCCTACAGGAATGCCAAGTCTAGGATCTTAGTCTGATCTTGGGACCTATGGGGCAGATCAAACATAGAGATCTGGGGCCTGATCTGATCTTGAGGCCTGTAGGAAAGTGAAGCCTAGAGTCTTGGGGCCTGTTTGGGTTTTGAGGCCTAGTGAGGCCTACAGGAAAGTCAAGCCTACAGTCTTGAAGCTTAGCTGCTCTTAAGGCATATTGATGCCTAAAGGTACATCAAGCCTAGATTCTCCAGGCCTACTCTGGTCCTGAGGTCAATGGACAAGTCAACCATAAAATGCTGGGGCCTAGTCTGGTCTTGAGGCCTACAAGAAAGAAAAGGCCTTGAAGCCTAGTTAAGGTGTATTGAGGCCTGCAGGCAAGTTGCAAGACCTAAGTCAATAGGGTTAAGAGGTATTCAGCTGACCAAGCATCCTGGTTTCTTAGCTGGGCTCACCACGCACCATGCCCTAGGTCTCGGAGCAAGACGCAGCAACACAGGCTACTTACACCATGGCTACATTGCTGCCATCGATAATGACCCTCCTTAAGTTCTTTTTCCCTGGCGTGTTGGCCAAGATGAGCTTGAAGGGTGTCCGGATGGCTTCCTTAAACCGCTGGGCTCCGGTCACCATTGGCACTGGGCCTGCTGGCACTGGGTACATATCCTCAGCTGGCTGGCTCTCCTCGGCAGCCCATGCAGGGGAAGCTACAGGGGTCACATCCATGGGGAAATCAGAGCCTTCTGGGAGGGGAGGTGGGCCACGGACTCCTCTGTGGACAGGAGACCCTCCTTTCCTCCCCGGCTCACAGTGATGTTGACCCTGGGGATACTCCTTGCCATTCAAGAGGGCCGGCTCTCCATCTCTGCAGCTGCCTTTATCCTCCAGCCTAGTTTTAACCCCAGCCTCCTCTTGGTGGTTGGCTTTCTCATTGAGCCTTCTCAGTAGGCCGGCCAAGGGGGCCCCTGTCCAGATCTCAGCCGGGATCTCGCTGGGTGAGTGGCCACAGTTGGCCGCTGCTGACTTGATGACCTCCAGCAGGTATTCGTGTTCATCTTGGGTCGTCTCTGGGGGCGGAGGAGGAGGAGAAGACGTCTCCCTTGCCCCGGACTCCTGAAAGGGCGCAGGGTCATGCCCCTGCTGGGAGGAGGAGGCCTGTTCCATCTGGACCCTGTCCAGGATTTTTGAGGGGGCTTCCCGCACACCACATTCCAATAGCACCTTCTTCACCACCCGCTCCTCGTAGCCCATGGTCTTGAAGAAGTTCAGCATGATCTTGAACTCCTTCTCCGTCCATGATGATGACAGGGCCCCAGCCGACTGTTCCTCCTCCTCCTCCTGGCTGCTCTCCTCCGGCCCCCTTTCCTCCACGTCTCTCATCCAGTCCTGGGTGCCGGGGAACATCAAGTCTTCTTGAGCCTGCTGGCTGCCGTCCAAACCTGGGACGGGTTTCGATGACCTCTTGTAAAGCACTGGCCTCTCGGAGGCCTCCTCCGCCAGCTTCTCCTGGTCCTGAGGACAGCCTGGGATGCCAGACCTGGAGCCCTGATGCCTGGTCTGGTCTGGAGGTCTACTGAGGTCAAAGAAGCCCTGGTGCCTAGCCCCACCTGTCGCTTTCACTTCCCACCATTGCAGCTGGTCCCGATTGATACCTGGTGGCACCCATGCTCTATTTCTTGGTGTCCATTCCCCGACTTCCTCCTGGATGTCCCGCACTAGGCTGAGCAGCTCCTCCTTGAGTGGGGTGGGCAGGATAAGAAGGTCTATGGCATGCTTGTCATCGTGGGACTCCACCAGCTCCCGGAAGGCCTTCTTCACCAGAGCCTCCTGCTCCTCCGGCAGCCGTGGTGCCTTCTGGTATTTCTCCACGAACTCCTGGATGCGGCTCTGGGCCATCACAAAGGCTTCGGCTAGGCCTGAGACCAGCAGGGAGCCGGGGCTGAGCAGGACCAGGTTGGCAGAGGTCCCCTTAGTGAGACAGTCCAGGAAGAGACCTTGAGCTCCCACAAAGACGCACTGCATGTCCTTAGGGTAGCAGACTTTCTCGCTCAACTCCGGGCTGCAGAGCCCCTTGATATACTCCTGGAGGACACAACACAGGGACAGGGTTAGAACGGGCTATTGCGGGACACCGGCTTCCAAGAATGTGTCTTCTGCTGGCTGGAATGAGAACTTCTCACTGTGTATCATGAGCCCTGTACTACTCAGCACTGGGCTGGGGCTTTATTTGAGGCAAAGATTGTCTGTGCAACACCTTGCACAACAGGGCCCTGATCTTGGTCGGAGTCTGTGGAGCGCCTGGCACAATACGGCCCTGATCTCGGTTGGGGTCTGTGGAGTGCCCAGAACAGTGGGGCCCTGATACATAATTATATGTTTGTATACAAACAAAATCTGCATTTAAATGAATATTTTTTAAGACGCAAAACCCAGCACTCAAAAGTTAGGAAATGCCAGAATAGCAGATGTCTGGGTAATCTTAACTCTGCTCCCTCCCACGCATACATCACCACACAGGTTTTAATTACACGATCACAGGTATCTATCTATCCTCATACAGACCCCCACTCTCTCTCTATCACTGTGTCCAGACAATCTCTACCATCTATCCATCCATGCATCCATACGCTCCCTATCTATCTATCTCCATACACCCCACTAGTTGCTCTTATCACAATTAATAATGGCTACAAAGGGTGTGTGATGATGCCCCTCAACCCCTACCCACAGCCCCCTGCTGTCCGGAACTTAACTTGGCTGCCCCTGGTTGTGTCTAGTTGTACAAGATGGCAGGGTATTCGGGGTACAGTTGTGTAAAAGAGTAATCACAGTGCAAGAAATGTTAGGCAAAAGAGAATTTTGTGTGGTAAAAGGAAAAGGGGAGGAATGATGGGAACACTGAGCCTTGGGGTGGCTCCGGGGGATTAGATTGTTGCTTTGGTGGGTGTGCATGAAAACTCTGTGGGCATGGGGGAGGCAGTTACACCTTGTGTAAAATTAATTTGGCTAATATGACGTTATGGAGGTTAAACTATATGGAAGGAATGTGCATTTTCCCAGGACGTGTGGAGTGTCTATTGGAGAAGGGGTAAAAGAAATGCAAATAAAACATGGTACTTCATTAAAATCCTAATAGGGCTCCAAAAGGAGCCACAATAGGTTGTGCTTTCTTTTTCAGATCTGTGTGTTTTGGAGCAGGAGATGAAAGTGGAAAGTAATCAGAACTCTAGTGGAAGTGGAATGTTTCCCTTTTAAGACACTCTCTAAACTGCTAACAGCTTTGGATCCAAAAGCAAGCTAGTAAGCCTCTGTGTGTAAATGCAAATTACCTAGCTGATGGGCACAAAGGAGCTGCAAATAACGAATACATCTGGTCAGCAAACAAGCTACTAGAAGACTCAGATTATGGCCCTCCAGGAAAGGGAGGTGAAAAAAACAAGTCAAGCCTGAAAATAAGGGGGACAGGTTAACCTTAAGGGGTGTGTGTGTGTGTGTGTGTACAGTGCTAAAATCTGAAGCTGTGTCTCAGCTATTACCTGAGAATAAACTTAAAGCTTGGTACAGCAGAGAAACTATTGCAAACTTGGTCTGTTGTACAAGAGGGGAAACTGAGGTACACCATCTCATGAATTTCATAAATGATCAGTGAGTGAGGTAATTCACTAGCCTGACTATAGAACGAAATAAGGACAGCCTGGAGGTAATTCTTCTGTTTTTCCTGCAATTAGCAAGGAAATTTGTAAAAGAAAGTTTCAGAGGAACAGCCGTGTTAGTCTGTATTCGCAAAAAGAAAAGGAGTACTTGTGGCACCTTAGAGACTAACCAATTTATTTGAGCATGAGCTTTCGTGAGCTACATCTGATGAAGTGAGCTGTAGCTCACGAAAGCTCATGCTCAAATAAATTGGTTAGTCTCTAAGGTGCCACAAGTACTCCTTTTCTTTTTGTAAAAGAAAGTGGTATTATTATTAAGCAATAATCTGTCCCCACCAGGGGGGTGGAAATTGTTTCTTTTGTTTTTCAGACACTCTACAAGCAAGCTGGCGCCAGCGGAAGAATAACTCAGAATACCATGGATCTATGTTTTGTGTTGTTTGTCTGTGGTGTTTGTCTTGTTGCTAGCATTGTTGTGTTTTAATGAACAGAAAATCTCATGATGTGGGTGGGGGATGGCTTCAAAAGGCTGACCTTGGGGGGCAGATGTGTATGGGAATGCAAAATGCTCAACTAGGAGGCCAGCACCTGTGTAATAGCTACCGTGGTACCTGGAAATGGAATGGCAACTAAGGTGGCCCCCACAAGCCCTATGGAAATAATGAGAAGGGGAGGAGCTCACTGGGAATCAATGGAGGGGTGTGTAAAATAGTGTAAATCAACAGAAGATGTTTGGATGTGCCCCTCTCCTATGACTATGGAGGAGCAGAATCAATGGCCTATGGAAGGGGTGGACAATTGGGTGTACTGTGTATAAGGTGTTTTGCTGGGAATGTACATCTTACTGGGGGCACAATTACACCAGCCCATAACCAAACTACACCCATCTACATGCTGCTATATGGACTTTGGTGCACAAATGGATCTTATTGCTGTGAATAAGCCAGGGCTTACTGCCTGATTCCATACCAAGTGGTCAAGCTGGTTTGGACAATATCCCATTTCTCTGTGAACATTCAATGGACTTATGATATGGACAAAAGCAAGCAAAACCTCCAGGGGCAGCTTGTTGCAACTGCCAGCAACTGGACACAAGATCGTGACCCCATCGAAGGAGGAGAGGCAGTGTTTTGGGGGTGTCTCGGATGTTGGACCATACTGCAGTGGTCAGGACTCAGTGTTGCTGTGGATTTTGAATTGTTAACTGTACTTGTGTTACGCTGCATAGGGATATAACCCATAAGTAATGTAATAAGCCCTCCAAACCTTGCAGTGTACTAGACAACCCGGACCCAACCTTCTCAGGCCCACTCTAATGGGAAGTCTGGAACACTAATTGGAATAGGTGTGGTATGCCCGTACGAGAGAAGGTGCAGGGCTCTATACTACACAAGGGGCAGTGGGACAAATGGAATATCGACACCTTCCACCTTGATGCCTGGCCCTATCAGGAAATGTGTCGCCATATGTCCTATGCTTTTCCAGGGATACCTGGGCAGGAGGATCCCAAAAGAAAAAAAAGGGGTGGAGTGTTAGGATATAGATATTCAGGCCTGTCTGCAAAGGCCTGTACTTTAAGAATTTAGGTGTATTCTTATCACTTGGCTAGTTATAGAGGTATAAAAGAAGAATCAAAATCACTGTCTGCCGGTGTAAGGGCCTTCTCTTACTGTGACAGTCTGAGGCCCTGTTCTTAGCCTAAGGCCTTTGGCTAAGCAGCAGAGGCAGCCATAAGCTGGGAAGCGAACAGTCACATCCCCACATTCCAAACTAGTCACATTGAAATAAGGTGCTATTGGGCTGTTAGGCACTATCAGGACAGGATTGTATTCCTATCACCTCCAGAGAAAGGGAAGTGCCTAGAAAATGTAAAAGGAAACTTAGTTTGATAGCATCCTGTCTGGCAAGAACTCACTTATCAATAGCTGGGATGTGAAATCCTCACTTCTGTATTGTCTTGTCATTATAGTTCCCACTTTGCTATTGTTTGTCTGTATAATCTCTGTCTGGTTCTGTGATTGTTCCTGTCTGCTGTATAATTAATTTTGCTGGGTGTAAACTAATTAAGGTGAAAAGAAAAGGAGTACTTGTGGCACCTTAGAGACTAACCAATTTATTTGAGCATGAGCTTTCGTGAGCTACAGCTCACTTCAGATGAAGTGAGCTGTAGCTCACGAAAGCTCATGCTCAAATAAATTGGTTAGTCTCTAAGGTGCCACAAGTACTCCTTTTCTTTTTGCGAATACAGACTAACACGGCTGTTCCTCTGAAACCTAATTAAGGTGGTGGGATATAATTGGTTACATAATCATGTTACAATATGTTAGGATTGGTTAGTTAAATTTCAGGAAAATGATTGGTTAAGGTATAGCTAAGCAGAACTCAAGTTTTACTATATAATCTGTAGTCAATGAGGAAGTGGGTGGGTGTGGGAGATGGGAACAGGGAATGGGGGTAAGAAAATTGGAATCATGTTTTGCTAAAGGGGGAAATGGGAACAGGGAATGGGAGTAAGGAAGTTGGAATCATGTTTGGCTAAGGGCAGGAATGGGAACAGAGACACAGGTGTAAGGCTCTGTGGTGTCAGAGCTGGGAAGGAGGACACTAAGGAAGGAAACTGGAATCATGCTTGCTGGAACTTCACCCCAATAAACATCGAATTGTTTGCACCTTTGGACTTCGGGTATTGTTGCTCTCTCTTCATGCGAGAAGGACCAGGGAAGTAAGTGGGTGAAGGAATAAGCCCCCTAACAGCCCCCACCCCCAGCTCTGCAGGTGCCCCTCACTCCTGACCTGCAGCCCCCTGCTAGCCCAGCCCTGGGCTTCCCCAGCTGCGTGTACTTCCTAAACCACTGTGTGCAAGCTGATCAGCACGTGGGCGTGACTGTGGGGAGGGAGGGAGAGAAGATGGTTATTTTGGCTGCAATTTCCCCCCCTGTCGGTTTCACGCCCGCAGCAGCAGAAGAAAAATTCCCTGCCGCTTTGGGTGGAATCGAAAGCAAAATCAGTCAGGGGTGTGTCCTGAAATACAATCACTTCCTAGGGTGCCGGAGAGTTATGGCAGGTCAGCTCCCTGTTGGGCAGGGTTCTCAAACTTTTGTACTGGTGACCACTTTCACACAGGACACCTCTGAGTGCGACCTCCCTTATCAATTAAAAGCACTTTTTCATATATTTAACACCATTATAAATGCTGGATGCAAAGCAGGGTTTGGGGTGGAGGCTGACAGCTCGCGACCCCCATGTAATCACTTCACGACCCCCTGAGGGGTCCCAACCCCCAGTTTGAGACCCCCTGCTGTAGGGGCTCCCACCTTTCAGAACAAACCAGAGAGAGTGACACTGGCAGACCAGGTGCCAGCTCGTGCCAAGGTCCCCAGGCCTCAACTGAACACTGACAAATAGAGGGCGGGCACCCATCTGGCTCCC